GAATGTATTCATAGGCTCTCACCTACGTTAATCTCTCCACAGAATGTTAACTCATACTTTCTGGCTTACCAAATGGGTTCCCAGAAGTATCCCAAAATGTATTCACATGTCAGCTATGTAATTAAAAACAAGGTTAGTGGTAACCTGAGGCAGATGCTAGTGTTGTCATTGGAACACAGATCTCTGAAAAATTCAATTTTCAGAATCCGGAGCTGTAGCTACATGGAATTAACAGGAACAGGATCCAGACCCCTTGGAGGCGCAAGGGTGGCCTACCAATAATTTATAAGGTGTTTTGATTCTCTGCCATGGGAGATTTTCCCTATTGCACAGCACAATGACCTCATATTGCCAGATACTCTCTTGGGCAATGTGATCAGAGGGCAGCAGAGAGAAGGCTCTCTGCCCAGTGCCAAGCCCAACAACAGCAAAAATATATATATATATATATATATATATCAAAAATCCAGTTCTTCTCAACTGTAGTAACTACAGGATTCACCTGGGAACCTGCTGCAAAGTTACATTCCTGGGCTCCACCTAGAAATTCTCATTTGAGTCTACATAATAATCATCCTAAATAAACCTAGATTTCCCATCTTAAATCCCTCCAGCAATTCCTCTGTAGGTGATCCAGAACCACACTTGAAAAACACTGGCCCTGGACCTAGACTCTGAGCCCCAAGAGGGGAAAACATGTGCCTATCCCTGACTTCCTATTCAATACCTGGCACATCCAAGGGCCAGGTAATTGTTCACTGACTTGTTCAAAACCAATCTTCTAAAAAAAATTTAAAAAGGTTTCAAATGGGGTCGGCTCAAATCTGTGGCCTGTCTGCATCATTAGGCTATGGAACTCTATGGGAGTAGTTTAGGAAAGGGGATTCAAACTCACTAAAAGCTAAATGATAATCCATGAGGCCAAAGAATTCTTTAACATGTAAAAACAACTACATATAATTTGGATTATAATATATTTTCTCCTAATAACAAAAACCCAATTATGAAACTAATCTAGTGCCTGCCAAACAAGAAGAGTACAGGGCCCTTGAGCACTCTAGCTCAGGTAGCTCACTAAGCATCGTATCTGCTCTGGATAAAATCCCTCCCTGTCTTTAAAAAAAAGAGTAAATAGAATTTAATAATTTTAGACTTAAACTATTGACGTGATGTAATTTATGAGATAATATAAATACTATATATCTGAAAAGCACTATATAAAGTTATTACTATCTTGGAAAACATGCTGAAGGCATTTCATATTGGAGTAATGTGTACAAGATCTGGAGTCAAACACAAGAGAAAGTGGGAAGCATATCGCTGTGCTTCCCAAAACCTAGGCTTTCTGCTAAGACAGAAATGATAGTATCTGCCTTTGAAGTTTCGTGAGAATTGAGGCAGTGTGTGTTTTCCATTTCCTCTACTTCCATTCCCAATGTTAACAGATCAGTTCCCTTTCTGCTCCCATTAGGGGCTCTAATGTTAGACACTTAATACACTTGTACAAACACATGGTGGCAGGCAACATGGGCCTGTCAAAATGCTCTGGGGCGCATTTTGTCACTTTACACAGCTAAGCCTTGGTGTACACACGGAAGAATACAAAAGACCCTTGCCAACCTGGTTCACCGATCGCCTGTCTTCAACTATCGATACTGAATGTTCCCAGCACATAAACCTATCGCTAACTCTGCAAACTTAGAAATGAATGGTGAAGTCAATGCGTGGATCTTAACTAAGAAGTTTCAAAAGAGATGATGTGGATGTTTCTTGGGGTCCGAGGCAAGGCCGTAAGAAGAACGTGCTGCTGGAACTCTGCTTTCCGGTTGGGAGGGTATATTGGCTGGAAGGTGGAGTAGGAAGGGGCCGATGTGAGAAAACCAAGCAGCAGCCTTACTTTCTGGAAGATGCAAAGAGCACTGAGCCTGTCTGCACTTGGACTAGGTCAGAGTGTACCGGGGAAGGGGCGC